CTGTTCACTTACAGAGCTACTCACTTATAGATACACACTTTTGTCTGTCATTCTCTCACATACAATTTCACTCAAAAATCCCTTCTTTTATATTCTTTTCAAATACAAACATAGATTATTTATTGGTGACTGTATGGAGTGGGGGCAATATGTCAGAAAACTATCAGAATATATTATCCAATGAGTGAACTCCACTGAGACACATTGCCTTATTTATTTGGGTGATGAGAATCACATGTGCTGCTAGAGATTCTTGGATTACATCTCCCTTCAGCACCTCTTAGCATAACCACTAGTGAGGAATTCTTGGAATTATGATGCAACAACATCTGGAGGAAGTCGTTATTCCCCTCCCAATTTATTTGTTAGATTTACATCCTAGCTTTCATCCAAGGAACACATGAATGTTTACATTGTTTTCCTCCCATTTTATACACACAACAACTAGACTAAGTTAAGAGAGAGAGAGTGGCTGAAGGTTAACCAATGAGTTTCGTGGGTGAGCAGATTTGAATCTGAATTTCCCAAGTCCTACTCCAACTCTTAATCACCAATGTATAATTGCTTGCCTCAGGCCCAATCTACACTGCCATACAATGCAATTTCAAACTCCATTATATGGTCAGTGTACACTTATATAATGTCGTCCAATGAGTCTATGTTGATCATATAATGCAATTTCAAACCCCTATGAGATCCCTTTCTTGTTGCTGTGTGGCGTGCTTTCTAAACATCCTATTTAGGACTATATGCTTGATTGGATCCCAAGATCTATTATATGATTAAATAGACACTTCTAAACTTTTGAGTATCTGGAGAAAGATCACATGTTATCCTGCTTTTTCAGAAGGTTTAGTCATTAAATTACTTCTGAATACTGCTTACTAATTATAACCCCATGGCCCTAATAAACATGATGACTGTGTTACCTTACAAATAGCATGTGAGCGGGACATTGCATACCTGTCACATAGAGCATCTGACATTTGGAAGTCATCCTGGTGCATTCTGATTATTTAGAAGCATATTTATGTAAAAGTGTAAAACTGCTAAGGCTGTATGCCTCCTGAACTTTGCAGGATATTTTTGAGACCTATGCCAGATCAGACCAACTGAGGATGGAAAAAAAGGCTTTGAAACATTATTTCATTAAACCAAAAGGTAAAGACAGAGAAGAAAAGGAAATAGTATCACTGAACAGAAAAATTGAGGACTTGGTGACAACATCATAGGAGGATCCACCATAAAAACTATAATAAATAAAACCATCTAAGAAGCTGCCATTAGTGTACTCTGTATAAGTTTAATAAACTTGGGGAAGATCTGAACATGAAAAGCATGGAAGCATTGTGGGAATTGTCAAAAGTTATTATTAGTGTGCATATCATGAGAATGAAGGTGAAATCAAGGAGGAATAAGCTCTGTTGATTGTATGGAGGACTGACCTGAGGTTTATTCCAGTCTTGATGGCTTATTTATCCAAAACATTTTAGCAGTCAAGGCATTCAGTTTGCACTCTTGGAATGTGACAGAATGAAACACCTGTTGCCTATACATGATTTATTTTACAATTGGGGTGTTGTGTGGTTTCTGGGCCTTAAGGTAGTGTTTTAGCAGCGTTTTCTCCTAATGTTTCACCTGCATCTGTGGCTCTTTAGAGGATACAATTATTTTACAATTGTATATTTTAATTATTTCTTCCTTGCAGTTGTATGTGTGGTATACTCTGCGTGTATATACACACACACACACACACACACACACACACACGTTTGTACACTTTTGACAGGACCCACTGATTTTTGGTTGTTCTACTTATAACGCTTCATACACATTTAGGTACTATACAAATAAACAACAACTTCAAGAGACTGACAAGGGATATCAGGCCCCTGAAGTAGGAAAAGGAGTAAAATGGCCAGAAGCCAGGAGTACATCTCACTATACAGCCAATGCAGTTTGACACCATGGCTCAATGCTATGGAATTCTGGGAATCATAGTTTTACAAGTGCCATAGCCCTTCTCTGACAAAGAGTGTTGGTGCCTCACCAAATTACAAATTCCAGGATTCCATAGCAATGAGCCATGGCAGTTAAAGTGGTGTCCAACTGCATTAATTCTACAACATAGGGCCAATCCAAGTAACACAATAGGGATCTATTGTGAGTAGAGTCATAGAATCATAATAATAATAAAACTTTATTTATACCCCACCATAATCTCCCCAAGGGGATTCCGGGCAGCTTACATGAGGCCAAGCCCAACGATTACAACAATGCAAATATGCAATATACAAATACACCAATAAAATATAATGAAAATAAAGATACAAAAAATGCAAAAAACAATACAAAGTAAACACACAATGCAATATAAAATCACAATAATTGAACACAGTGGGCAGGGCCAATTGTAAATATTAAAAGTTTTAAAAACACTGGGTGAGATGAGCAATGTAGTATATCTAGAAGGAGGGTCAGATGGGACCAAACAATGGGGTTTAATTGCACTAGAGGATAAAATTAAGTGCAACCGAGGGCATTTTTATGCAGGGTTTGGTCAAGGTCAGGGATTGTTGTTCATTCATTGAAGTTACACATTGAATAACAGAGTTGGGAGAGACCACATAGGCCATCTAGTCCAACTGTCTGACATGCAGTAAAAGCACGATCAAAATACCCCTGACAGATGGCTATTCAGTCTTTGTTTAAAAGCCTCCAAGGAAGGAGCTTCTACCACACTCAGAGGCAGAGAGTTCCACTGTTGAACAGCTCGTGCAGTCAGGAAGTTCTTCCTAATGTTCAGGTGGAACCTCCTTTCCTGTAATTTGAACCCATTGCTCCGAGCCCTAATTTCAAGGGTAGCAGAAAACAAGTCTGCACCCTCTTCCGTATGACACTCGTTCACGTATTTATACATGGCTATAATATCTCCTCTCAAAACATATCCAGTTCTTAAAGATGCTACTCAAGGGGCATGGTCTCCAGACCTTTTATCATTTTAGTTGCCCTCCTCTGGACACCTTCCAGCTTGTCAATATCTCTTTTGAACAGTGGTGCCCAGAACTGGGCACAGTATTCCAGATGAGGTCTAACCAAAGCGGAATACCATGACTTCCCTTGATCTAGAGACACTATACTCCTTTTGATGCAGCCCAAAATCCCATTGGCTTTTTTAGCTGTTGCATCACACTGTTGGGTCATGTTCAACTTATTGTCCATGAAGACTGCAAGATCTTTCTCACGTGGACTGTTGCAGATCAAGGCATCAACCAGCCTGTATATTTGCATTTCATTTTTTTTTCTGTGTAAGTCTAGTACCTCCTTGCTGAAATTTATTTTGTTACCTTTGGCCTGGCTCACTAATCCAGGCATGGGCAAACTTCAGCCCTCCAAGTGTTCTGGACTTCAACTCCCACAGTAGGAGTTGAAGTCCAGAACACCTGGAGGGCCGAAGTTCGACCAAACCCGCTCTAATCTGTTGAGGTCCTTTTGAAGTCTGATCCTGTCCTCTGAAGTATTAGCTATCCCTCCTCATTTGGTGTCATAGAATCATAGAATCCTGGAGCTGGAAGAGTCCTCGCAGGCCATCCAGTCCAACCCCCTGACAAGAAGCAGAAAAATCACACTCAAAGCACCCCCAACAGATGGCCATCCAGCCTTTGTTGAAAGGCCTCCAAAGAAGGAGCCTTCACCACACTCCGGGGCAGAGAGTTCCACTTCTGAACAGCTCTCACAGTTAGGAACTTCTTCCTCATGTTCAGGTGGAACCTCCTTTCCTGTAGTGTCATCTGCAAACTTGATGTACAAGTTGAAGGGCTGGTATTTCCCAGACTTTGCTCTTCCAAGTGTTTTGGACTTGTCCAACAGTCGGGAATTCTGGGAACTGAAGTCTAAAACCATCTATTTGAACCCCTTTTCCTAGTTCCAACAGACCTCACTACCTCTGAGGATGCTTGCCATAGATGCAGGCGAAACGTTCTAGAATGCCTCTAGAACATGGCCATATAGCCTGAAAAAACCTACAACAATCCAGTGATTCCGGCCATGAAAGCCTTCGACAACACATCTATTTGAAGTCTAAACATGGACGAATTGACATTTTTGTTAAGACAAAACAATGGTAAAGGTGTAAAAAGAACGGACTGCACAACCTTCGATGAATATATAAACAATGAGGACAATAATTAAGTATATAACTGTTTATTTGAGGGAAAAAATTCATATTCTTGGAATTGAATAGAGACATTTTTTTTTCTTTTTTGGGGCTTTAGTAAGAAGAACAGAAGTCAACATATATTTTTTTAATTATTTTTGATTTTTTTTCTTTTTTATTCTCTTTTTGGACTGTGGTGTTTAATTCTTTTTTTTTCTTCTCTTCTCTTTTTGGGCTGTGGTGTTTAGGTTTTAGGTTAAACATTACTCTTCTTTTTTCCTACTTTTCTAAAATGAAATTTGTTCCCACACTTTCGATGTACTTTTAGACCTTACTATTCTCAATTTCTTTTTTCTTTTTCTCTCTATCGTGCTCCTTTCTTTCGGAGCAATCTTCTTTTCTTAATATATATATACCATTGTTTTGTGTCATATATATATATATATATATATATATATACACACACACACACACACACATATATATAAACCATTGTTTTGTCTTATATATATTATTTACCATTGTTTTGTGTCATATATATATATATATATGACAAAACAATATATATTTATATTTATTTATTCTATATATTTATATATTCTATAATAAATATATATTCAATATATATTTATTCTATTATATATATATATATATATATATATATGAGACAAAACAATGGTAAATAATATATATATATATCTTATAGAATAAAGCCATCTCTTTTGGAGGATCCAAAGTTGGGAACCCGGAGAGGGGCCGAGTGACAGGAGCGAGCGCGAGGCACCTTCTCCCCTTGCGCATGCGCACGCTGAAGGCAGGCAGCCAGGAAGGCGGAGAGCATTCGAGGAGCGCCTCGGTCACCCTCCCAGCATGCAACGCGGCCTGGTTTGAATGGCGCTGCCTGGGCGAAGGGGGGCCCGGCGCTAAATCCTCCTTTCCGCCGCCCAATCCGGTGGCTTCCATTTGAGGCCTGGCCAGCGGCACCTGTGGCGCTGGACCATGAGCAGCAGAGGCAGCAGGTGAGTGAGTGAGTGAGTGCCCGCCAGCTCGCCCTCACGGCTTCCTCGTCGCGGAGGGAGACGGGTAGGCCTCGCATCCCTTCGGCGAGGTGCCTGAGGGCTGACTATTGGGCTCAGGGCTCTGGGAAGGCGGCTCTCCTTTCAGCCCCCCACCCCTCTCCTTCTTAGGCCTTGTTTTTCTCCGAGAGGAAGGCGCTACCTCTTCCTTGGTGGAGAGAGGCCCTGTTGGGAGGAGGAGGAGGAGGAGGAGTGTCTTCGTGGGCTAGTCTCTACCTGCTTCCGAGCCACCCACTGCCTGGGCTACACCTGTGTCGTGAGGCAAGGCTGTCTCCCACTTGGCCTCCTTGGAGAGAGCCCTTCTTGAACACCACCAGCGCACTTCTTTCCGCTCTTTCGGGGCTCCTAGTGAATGGGTTCCCTGCCCTACCCCAAAAGGGCCAAGTTTCCAGCCTGGAAAAGCAGCCAGTTAACCAGCCCTCTTGGATGTGAATGGAATTTATTCCCGAGGAAATATGCTTAGCGTTGCACTTGTCAGGCGTTTCCCATGGTGCAGCTGTCTGGCTTGTTCAGTTCTGTCTTGTACAAGGGGAGGACCCTCCCAAAGCCTCATTTTTCATACATGTTGCCTCAGAATGTGGTGGAGCCTCTTCCTCTGGAGGTTTTTAAGCAGAGGCTGGAAGGCCATCTGTCAAGAGTGCTTTGTTGTGTTTTCCATCATGTCAGAAAAGGGGTTTGGATTGGATGCCCATGTGGTTTCTTCCGGTTCTATTATTCTAAATAATAGAACTCTCGTTACATCAAGAATAGACTACTGCAATGCACTCTACGTGGGGTGACTGTGGAGCCCTATTCTTGATCTGCATCTTCTCCCGCAGGGAGGACATTGGTTTCCAGGTGGAAGGTGGTCAGTAGGGGTTGGCTTGACATGCCTTCCTCTTGGCACATTTCTCTCTTTCACCCTCCATTCGTGCCTCTTCAAATTCTACAGCACTCCTGGTCACAGCTGACCTCCAGCTGGAGCGCTCAAGGGCCAGGGCTTCCCAGTTCTCAGTGTCTAAGAAGAGTTTTTAAGGTTGACTTTGAGCCCATCTTTAAATCTCTTTTCCTGTCCACCAACTTTCCATTTTCTGTTCTTGAGTTCGGGATAGAGCAACTGCTTTGGGAGACGGTGGTCGGGCATCTGAACGACGTGGCCGGTCCAGCGGAGTTGATGGCGGAGGACCATTGCTTCAATGCTGGTGGTCTTTGCTTCTTCCTGCATGCTGACATTTGTCCGCCTGTCTTCCCAAGAGATTTGCAGGATTTTTGGAGGCAACACTGATGGAATAGTTCTAGGAGTTACATGTGACCTCTGTAGATAGTCCACATCTCGCAGGTGTATAGCAGGATTGGGAGGACAATAGTTTTATAAACAAGAACCTTGGTATCCCTACAGATGTCCCGGTCCTCAAACACTCTGTGCTTCATTTGGAAAAATGCTGCACTCGCAGAGCTCAGGCGGTGTTATATTTTAGTGTCAATATTGACTTTTGTGGAGAGGTGGCTGCCAAGGTAGCGGAAATTGTCAACATTTTCTAATGTTACACTATTAAACTGTATTTCTGGCATTGGAGAGAGATTGGATGGTGACTGCTGGAAGAGCACTTTAGTTTTCTCAATGTTCATTGACAGGCCGAGTTTCTCATATGCGTCTGCGAAGGTATTTAGAGTGGCTTGTAGGTCTTCCTCTGAATGCACACAGATGACGGTTGTCATCAGTATATTGGAGTTCTATAGCAGATGTTGTTGTAACCTTGATTTTGGCTTTCAGTCTGCTGAGGTGAATTCGCTTGCCATCTGTCCAATAGATGATTTCCACTCCGAAGGGAAGCTTCCCATCAACAGATGAAGTATCATAGCGATGAAGCACTATAAGTTATAGTTCTTATAACCATTTCAAGTCCTGTTGGATAAGGTGGTTAATACTCATAGTCATTATCAAAAGCCTGCTTGAATAGCCAGGTTTTCAACTCCTTCCTGAAAGTTATAAGGGTGGGTGCTTGTCTAATTTCCTTGGAGAGGGCATTCCAAAGTCTGGGGGCTGCTACCGAGAAGGCCCCCTCTGCCTCATCCCCACCAACCTTGCTTGTCTTTTTTATTCGAGAAAAAACCAAGATAGAACAAACAAGCTAGTCTGGGGGTATTTAACAATAAAAACCACATAACCACATTCTATCTGCTACTGCAGGACTACAACTAAACAGCTATTATTAATAATAATTGTTGTTATTATAAAACTTTATTATAATAAACATCCCAGCCACTGGTCTGGTTAAAAGAGCAGAAATTTAAATCCTCCAACTGTTGGATATTGCGTTAACCATTGTCAAAGGCCTGTTTAAAAAGGAAGGTTCCTTCCAAAAAATCGAAAGCTTGGAAGCTTGCCTAATTTCTCTGGGGAGGGCGTTCCAGTGGGGGGGGGGGGCAGTCGAGAAGACCCTATCCCCACCAACCATGCTTGTGACGGAGGTTGGAACATGAGAAGGGCATCCCTGACAGATCTTAATCCTTGAACAGGTTCATAGGGAGAGATGCAATTGCCTAAAATAACTAAATGGAAACACAAAAATGTAACATATTACACACAAAAAAGAAATCTACAAACTTTCTACTCACTATCTGATGGTTTTTATTCCTTATTATTTATTTATTTATTTACTTCTTTTGTATACCGCAAATATCAGCCTAAAAAGGCGACTCGAAGCGGTTTACAATAAAATGTGCAACACTGAACAATCTATATAACAAACATACACAAACAATACACATAAAAATCATCACGCCTCATTAGAATCAGATCTCGATCTCACAGTCGTATTACCATTCCTTGTTCAATGTGCCGTCATTCCTGAGTCAGTTGTTATTGCATATTTATCCGAACGCCTGTTCGAAGAGCCACGTCTTAACCCTCCTCCTAAACGCCAATAGCGAAGGGGCCTGCCTGATGTCCGCTGGTAGGGCATTCCATAGCCGGGGGGCCACCACTGAGAAGGCCCTGTCCCTCGTTCCCGCCAGCCGCACCTGTGACGCTGGCGGGACCGAGAGCAGGGCCTCCCCAGACGATCTTAACAACCTCGCCGGTTCATAGGTGGAGATGCGTTCGGAGAGGTAAGTGGGGCCGGAACCGTGTAGGGCTTTATAGGCTAAAGCCAGCACCTTGAATTGTGCCCGGTAGCAAATTGGCAGCCAGTGGAGCTGGCTCAACAGAGGAGTGGTGTGCTCCCTGAGTGCCGCTCCCGTTAGCAACCTGGCTGCCGAACGCTGGACCATTTGAAGCTTCCGAGCAGTCTTCACAGGCAACCCCACGTAGAGAGCGTTGCAGTAGTCTAAATGGGATGTGACTAGAGCATGGACTACCAGCTGAAGCTTCCGGGCAGTCTTCACGGGCAACCCCACGTAGAGCGCGTTGCAGTAATCTATACGGGATGTGACAAGAGCGTGGACTACCGTGGCCAAGTCCGACTTCCCAAGATACGGGCGCAACTGGCGCACGAGCCGAAGCTGTGCAAATGCTCCTCTGGACACCGCTGAAACTTGGGGTTCCAAGCTTAGCGAAGAATCCAGAGTCACACCCAAGCTGCGAAACCTGTGCCTTTAGGGGGAGTGCGACCCCGTCTAGCACAGGCTGTAACCCTATACCCTGTTCGGCCTTCCGACTGACCAGGAGTACCTCTGTCTTGTCTGGATTGAGTTTCAATTTGTTCGCCCTCATCCAGTCCGACACAGCGGCCAAGCACCGGTTCAGGACCTGGACAGCCTCCTTAGTAGTAGGTGGAAAGGAGTGACAGAGTTGGACATCATCTGCGTACAGATAACACCACACCCCGAAACTCCGGATGATCTCTCCCAACGGCTTCATGTAGATGTTAAACAACATGGGGGACAGTATTGAACCCTGCGGGACCCAACACTACTTCACTACTGTTGAAGTAGTGACTCCCAGCAACACCTTCTGAGATCAACCTTCTAGGAAGGACCGGAGCCACTGCAGAACAGTCCCTCCAAGGCCCATTCCCACGAGGCGCCCAGAAGGATACCGTGGTCGACGGTATCGAAGGCCGCTGAGAGGTCCAGCAGAACCAACAGGGACACACTCCCCCCGTCCAGCTCCCGGCGCAGATCATCCACTAAGGCGACCAAGGCTGTCTCGGTACCATGCCCCGGCATAAAGCCAGACTGTGCCGGATCCATATAATCCGTGTCTACCAAGAATGCCTGGAGTTGTGAGGCCACCACACGTTCCATGACTTTGCCCAAAAAGGGGAGATTGGAAACAGGCCGATAGTTGACGAATTGAGTGGGGTCCAGTGATGGTTTTTTCAACAGCGGTTTTATAACAGCTTGTTTTAAGCTGGCTGGAATTGTGCCTTCCCGAAGGGAGGCATTAACCACCACCTTTACCCACTCGGCCAATCCCCCTCTGGCCTCCTTTAGAAGCCAGGATGGGCAGGGGTCTAGGATGCATGTGGTTGCCCTCATCCCTCCCAGCACCTTGTCCACATCCTCAGGTGTCACAGATTGAAACGAATCCAACAAAATCGGACAGACAGGTGTTCTCGTCACATCCTCAGAGACTGCCGTTAACATGGTGTCCAGGCCTGAACGGATCAAAGCGACTTTGTCCGCAAAGAACCGAGCAAATGCTTCACAGCGGGCCGACGAGTTGTCAGGGCTCCCATCCGGAATGGTGGGTTTCAATAGGCCTCTGACAACTCGAAACAGCTCCGCCGGACGGTTCTTAGCGGACGCAATATTGGCCGCAAAGAAAGATTTCTTTGCTGCCTTTATTGCCACGGCATATGCCCTTAGTAGGGCAACAAACCGTGCTCGGTTTAACTCGCTCGGGTCCGAATGCCACACACGCTCTAGTTTCCTCTTCTTTCGCTTCATTGCTGCCAGCTCCTCGGTGAACCAAGGAGCTGGTTTAGCTCGGCTACTTGAGAGGGGACGTTCCGGAGCGA